AAATAGCATATTACTAGGTAGAAAGATCGCTTAAAAATGACTGCAACCACAAGACAAAATAAAAGAAAAAAATGTGAAAAACAATAAAAAAAACTTCAAGACTTCACAAGAATATGAGAAGTTCATTGACCTGATTTCAGACTCTTCCTTAAAAACAGCTTTTAATGAAGTGCAGTTAGCAGTTTTAGTGCAGCACCAAAAACTAATATCCAGTATTATCAGAGAAAACTCTTTCTGTTCTTCTCACGTTTGTGACCACCTATTTGTGTGAAACCGGATTTTCGTCATACGTGTCCACAAAAACGAAGTATCGCAACAGATTGGGTGCAGAGTTGAACATGAGACTGCAACTCACATCCATAACTACAAATATAAAAAAAATTGTAGAAGTAAGAGGCAAACTCACTAATCGCAGAGATTGTTCTGTTTCTGCCGGCTCACTAATCGCAGAGATTGTTCTGTTTCTGCCGGCTTACTAATCGCAGAGATTGTTCTGTTTCTGCCGGTTTGAAGTAAATGTTGATTCAAAATTATCAGTACTCTTTTTAAAAAACCTCATGCACTGTTGTCTCACTGTGTTTTACTTAGTCATTTTGCTCCCAACTTTTCCTATTTGCGCCCAGATAGACCACATAAAGTGTCGTCTGGTTCTATAAATTCATTAGTTTTTTTTTCCCTTTGTTAACAATATAAGAAATTATAAGTTTTCAAACCAGGAGGAAAAACCTTCTGGTTTTCTTCTAACTTGGTTGAACCGGCGGCTAAAACTTTGATTCTTTTATTCTCAATGAGTATTTCAGTGATTAAGCTTTATTGAACCGTAGGGGTGCTAAGTAGGCAAGTTATCATGTGATTAATCCATCCATTTTCACTTCCGCTTTTCCTAGTGAGAGTTGCGGTGTAGCTGGAGCATACCTGGCAAGCAACGATCGCAAGGCAGGGTACCCCCTGGACAGAGCGCCACTCCATTGCAGGGGAAGTACAAGATAATCATACACATGAGGACAATTTTGAGGCAATAGTAAGGGCTGAGGGGGAAAATTTGTCTCAGACACTGGGCTAACTCCCTACTCTTCTTGAGAAATGCCTAGGGATCTGTAATGACCACTGAGAGTCAGGACCTCGGTTTAACATCTCCTCCGAAAGATAGCACCCACTACAGTATAGTGTCACCATCACTATACTGGGGCATTAGGACCCACATGGACCGCAGGGTGAGCTCATCCTGCTGGCCCCACTAACACCTCCTCCAGCAGCAACCACAGGTTTTCCCTGGAGGTCTCCAAACCAGGTACTGACTAGGCTCAGCCCTTCTTAGCTTCAGTGGGTTGCCGGTTGTGAGTTACAGGGTGATGTGGCTGCTAGCTTCATGTGATTAATAAATGACTGAAATAAACTCAATGGGCTCATACAATGCTTACAATTAAAACAAAAGAAATCAATAGTTTCTTCCTTAATAATTGGCTAAATGGTCTCTGAATAGCAGTCCTAGAATGTCTTTTGCAGAACACCACCACAGCTAATCCTGAAAAGTAAGAAAAAAGGTTGTTGGGGATCCGCAAAATTATCTTAGACAGAAAAGGGACCCGTCATCAAAAAAGTTTTAGAACCACTGATATAGATGCAATAATTGATACCATTAAAATTATATTAAAGTGTTTTTGGCAGTGCATACTGTACCTCAACATTGTAATGGTAAACTGCAAAATTAATAGTTTCAGTTGTTTTTTCAAATTAATTTAAAGTCACTCCACAAAACTACTTGTTTTCAAAGAATGTACATATAACCATTCACGTTAAAACAACTGAGGTCAGATTCAGGATCCATTCATGGCCATTCATTCGCTTTTCAGAAAACAAATACTGAACAGCCATGTTCCATAAAAATGGTAGGTAGACTATGTATTTTATATGTTTAATATAACAGAAATATAACATTTTAAGATTAAAAAGATTTTTTTTTCAAAGAAAAAAAAGATAAAATGAAGCTACCATTTTGAGAAACACTTAATGTAACAAGTGCAACCTAGTGATTTTTTTTGAGCAGTGAAAGACTTAAAGCAATATGCTGGACAGAACTATGGATTACAGCACTCTGCTTTCTGATGATGTGAGTTTTGATGCACATTGTAGATGTCTGCTTCTGTAGCTAAACAGGAAACAAATTCAGTCCAGTTCAATACAGGACTGTACTTGATTAGCAAATAAAGATAAAAGATTCAATAAAGATCAATTTAAGACAAAGATTTTGACAGAAATGGATCCACCATCAACTCTGTGCTTCACAAACGAATTATGGAACATACAGTAACCTCAGTTCTTTTTAGTGTAGTGTTGTAATGAAATAATGTACTGTATTTACATGTACATCACATGATATATCTTATAATATTTCCCATAGATGTAGTCTAAATAAAAAGGAGCAAACTCTTTTGAGAGTGTACAAAATAAGACAGCTCAAACTGTCAAATCCCACCCACACCGTGTAACTTTTGAGCTTCCATTTGCTCTTTAATGAAGATCGCCACATTGCCATCAGCTCCGGATTCCTACATATCAATGTCAATGCCCTCTGGTAAGTGTTTCTTTTTGGAGTCGTACACACTTACCAGCTTCAGAAATTCAGAAAAACTGGCAAGAGGTTCAATTTTATTGTCAGAAACTAAATAATTAAAAGATAATTCTCCCCACCAAAGAGAGAATTAATTCTGGTGTTTGTTTCAGACAGGTGACTGGCATATCAACATGTTATTCAGTGTATTATACAAGGACAGATTACACATAGCTGGAAAACCCAAAATTAAACATTTAATCAAAACAACATACATTCATTGTATAATGTATTTTCAAATCACAACTCATATAATAAGAGCATTTTAAAGTTCATGAAGATACTTTTACTTTACAATTGTTTATGGACAATTATTCCAGAAACATAGAATCATGATTCTGAAAATCTATAATTCTTGGGCCAGAACTGTCTAGAACAACACAGTTACTCAAAGAAAAATAAAACAAACATTCATGCTCCTGAGAATGCAAAATAAAGAATAAACTATAAAATGGACATACCTACCACGGCACTATTATAAATGTTTCGCCAAGCATACAACAACCTAGTGTCGGTGAAAAAAATATTGCTGTGAAATGCAAGTCTGAAACAGGTTTGAATGTGACAAAAAGCTACAAATCTAGTGGTACAACATACACAAATGTGGTACTTTGAATTCTGTAAATAAAATGGTTTCTATTGTAGTTTGTAGCTGTGGTTTACACAGGAAGCCAATTTCACTATAGGTTCACAGTAGTGTCACTAGAATGACACCTGGAGTTAAATATAGTCAAATATTTTGTGAAGAGGAATAGTTTGGGTTAGAGGTCACCTTTCAGCAAGTAGCTAATGATACACTGTAGGAGGATAAACAATTACAGCAGTTTTCCAGTATCAAATCAGGAACAGTATTAGTTGGTGATTAAATCTGCCAAGATTTAATTCTACAGTATCTGTGTAGTAGTTCCCAAGACAAATTCAGACTGATCTGTGAGAAGAAAATGGCAGGCATGCAGCCATCTTGGTGCACCAAGAATGGATAGTGCCTCAGATCTTAATGGGATGCTCAGTGGAATGATACTTTCATTGGAGCTAATTGGTCAAATGTTTATTATTAAACAGCAGGAGGTAGTGATTTGTTCTGAAGATCAACAATACACAAAAAAATTGTGTATTTGGAAGCCAAATAATATAATAAATTTTGAAAGCACATTTATATATTAAAAATACAGCAAAATAAGAACAGAGCCATTTGTAATATAATATTAAAACAACATGGCAAAATCAAATATCAAAACAGGACTAATTTACAGAAAAGGGTACAGTATTACTAACACATCTTGTTTGCAACCTTGAAGCAACCAAGGATCTAGTTATTAGCACATCATTTATCATTACTAATAAAGCATCAAATGGAAGTGCTTAAATAATAAAATAAGATAATTTGCTTATTTTAGATGAAAACTGCATACCTTTAGACACAAAAACTAAGCACCAAATAAACAAATTTCCTTAAGCAGCACAAGAAACACAATTTACTCTGATATGTCAACCAGAATACGAATGCAAAATGGGCTCTATTTCAGTGGTGCTGTGGATAATATGAAATCAGTGGGTACTGTAAACACAATAAATCAAGTAAAAAGGTATTCAAAAGAAGCCAAGGAACTTATGAAACAGCCTTAACACTTCAATGATTTGATATGCATTTTAAGGTGGATGGCAATTTAAATTTGTTCTCCCAACTTTATTAAGCATCTGCAAAAAGTCTAAATCAACAATTTATAATGTTAAAAAAGGGAAATTGTTGATAAGGAAGGGTAACACTTGTGGCAAAAAGCTCTAAAGGTCAGGGATTGCTATCTGAAGCAGTATGTGCCATCTCTGAGGATTAATAATGACTCACATCCTGCAGTGTAGTGGACTGCAAAGTAGAAAGTCATGTTACCATATTGGGTAAGGACATTCATACTGAGACTGACTTGAGCAGTATACAGATATGTTATGTAACTGAAGAATTACCAAAAAAATACCCCCCAGCCGACACAAATGCAAACAGAATAAATACAATTATAATATACAGCTCACAAGGCAATATTTCAATACTTCAGTTGAACACAGACAAACGCATCAGCAAATAAAGCTGACATGAAAGGTAATTTGAAATATGAAGGGATAAAATGAGGGTAATGGCAGGACACAGTTTGCTTTTTTGTCAAAATCCATACTGTTTACATGAATGCTGTTCACTCTTTTAAAAAATCGATTATTACTTCAGGTATAACAGTGCTGGGATAAACTTTAAAACAGTACCAATGTCACCTTACCCCAGCTGCTGCTGTCATCATACTAATGCAGTCACAATGACACTGTGAACTCAGAAGTTAATAACACTAGAGGTAAAATAAAGCAGAACACACTGGAGCCTGTGGATAAAAAAAATACTTACTTGAAAATCCTTTTCTTCTAAAATTTCTTTCCTCCATCTTACTAGAAAAGCTGCACAGACATACAGGTGAAAGTGTGAAAAACCCTCTGGCTCGGCCTGCGGAAGAGAAAAAAAGCACGAAACATATCAAGAAAATGAAAAGAAGACAATGTGGAGCAGGTCTGCAAAACAATATACAAATTTAGATTGTGTTTGGCAAAAGGGGAGAAACTGTGGTGATTTTATTGCATAAAATATAGTGACTTTTGACTGGAACTGAATTACTACTCTCAGAGAACTAGTGTGGTGTTCATACTGACCATCATCCTTTTACCTTTATTTACTTGGACTTTTTATTTCCTTGCTGCTTTTTCAAGCCAAAGCCAAAATACATAAGAGGATCCATAATGGCATGGTGACATTCAATTGTCTCAACATAACCATCAGGGGGCAAGAACCAGCATTCCCCTAATTCCAAACACAATGTTCATCTGCCATTCTAGCCAATGTAAGCAGGTATCAGAACCTAGATTCAACTGAGAAAGTAATCTTCATAATCTGCATATGTACAAAATAGCCTGGTCTATGAATAATTTAGTTGAGGTTATCTAAAGAAAAAAGAAAAATGAGAAATGTCATGAAAAATTACTTCACTGGGGGAAAAACTACTTGTGTCAGTTCCTCTATGTATAAACCTTGTACAATAAAAATGGTTCTCAAGACAATTAATGATGGTAGCTATTTCTTTTGCCCCTTTTCTGGTGCACATTTATAAACCAAAAACAATTTAATTTATTTATTGATAAGTATGATGTTCAGAATTATATCATTCAATCAACATATTCAAATTTATCAAAAAATTGCTGTGCAATATTGATAATGAAGCATTAGCCTTAGTGACTAAACAGTTAGTTTATAAATCCTAGAAAAACAAGATATCTCATAATCAGATTAAAGTTCTGCAGTGGAAAATGATTCCATCTATGAATGTTTGTACAGAAATGAAAAACAGACAGTATATTTTAAAGATTCTGTAACAGTGTTAGATTAAAACACATGTAAAAAAGTATCCAGGCTTCTTATCCTGTGCAGTGTAACTCATTTAACTGTATATCCCTTTTCCTATTAGTATTTATAGATGTATATATTATTCACTCAAGTAAACTTGAGATCTCTAAATCCCATTCTCATGTTATGGAAAACTGTTAGGGCTCCTGATGAAAATCATAAGTTTCTTTTATCTTACATTTTATTATAGTTGGTGATTTTATTTGATGCTTTAACAGACTTTTGCTATTTGTCATTCCTAGACAAAGCATACGCTTTTAACAGTGGGCTTTTTGATAGTTAAATGAGACCTGATATCTGTTGGTACTTGGATTTAGAGAGGGCTAAATTGTGAAGAAGCACAGTACTCTTACTGATAAATTATTTAGTGACTTAATTACAGCCAGTCAAACTATTACATGGCTGACCAGCAAATTTATTTTCATTCAGGACACAGTTACACATATACCATTTGATGACAAAGCACTGCTTGGCCAATTTACTTTTGTTTGTTTCCAAACCAGTACTGGATGATGAAGCTTTTCACATCATCATTTTCAAAGGAGTCAGCTCCCTCTACAGCCCTTCCAAAGAACAGAATAACAGTAAACAAAACATTGCTGAAATTACCAAAAAATCTTGAATGACTTAATGAGACATGTTCTAACACAAACTAATTTCAATTATCCTATTTTACTCCACTACTTTTCTTGTGTGTGTAGTATCAGATATCATTAGATATTACTGTGAAAAAAATCCAAAATGTCCAGCAAGAGTGGCTGATGTATGAAACACCCTAAACTCACTAAAAGAGCTTTAAGACAACCTAGTCATTTTTGTCTGAACAGAAATTATAATGATTAGATTTACCCAGCAGGAAAAAACTGCATTCCATCATTTAAAACTAGTATAGGAACATATACTGCATATGTATAGTACAACAGATATAATTAACCTTTTCCATACAAGGAAGACACTGTCAACAAGAAAGTGCAAACAAATAAGCACTCAACCCAAAGCAGCAGTTTCAGACCTGCACCCCAATAATGGATTCATCCAGCCCCTGGACTAATGACCATGAAACTATGTAAAATGCCACTTAAGTGAAAAAGTTTCAGCTATTCTGAATTTGCAGTTTAAACTGAAAGAAAAGTCATCAGAATTAAACACACATTTAAACAGAAGAGGTTTTAGACAAAACAACAGTAAATGACCTCTTCAACAGCTTGATAGGAGCACTGGACAGACTCAATGTCTACTGGACAAAGGTTTTAAATCTTACCAAAGATTTTACCCTCACTGGTGGACATGAAAGCTGAAGATGCAAAATCCAAAATCCAAATGAAACGTTTAACTCAAACAGGCAGTTTGCAGTTATCATTACATTTTGCCTCAAGAAACACAGCAGTGTATGTAAATAATGTTAAGATATAGTTATGAAAATTGTAAATTTTATTCTAGCAGTAAGTTTCACCCTCTTCCTCTGTTTGCATGTTTTTTTGAGTACTCCAGTTTTCTGTCACCTCCCATAGACAAAGTGGCCAAGCTTGATTGGCCATTCTAATTCTTTTAGCCCTTTCCCTGTGGCACTGTGATGGACCGGCATCTCATACAGGATATGCAGTCATGATCTTTGCCCCACCTTGCTCTCTAACCTGTCACTGAACTGGATCAACAAATAGATACAAGGGCGCAGCCATGTGGTGACAATATATCATGACAGAATTAGTAGCTTTGAGATTAAATTTAAATTGTGGGAGAAGCAATTTTGCAACTTTAAAATCCCTGTGTGACACTGCCGGGCCATGTGCCGGGCCAGTGTCAAGTACAGTGACAAAATTATTGAACATGGAAAGGAATATCAAAAGCCCTCCCCCAACTTTTCATTTTTCTGCGCACCATCATCTATCATTGTAAAGAGTCCATAGAAGTACATTTTTCAAACACACAAATAATTTAAAGCAGACAGAAAAACAAGTAAGGATATAAGGAAGGTACAGGAGCTGAAATATTGTTAACAATGACCTTAGCTTCCAAGCGTCTGTATTGCAGGTGTTTACTCTTAGCACACGAGCTAGCCCATGGGTCTTCAGCTCAGATCCTGGACAGCTCCTATGCAGCAGGCTTTAGTTGTCATCATTAAATCATAATTTTCTAAAGATCTGGAACATTTTTTGTGATCTATTAAATGAATTCAGAAATCAATTAATTGAAGGCCAATTCCAAACACACCTAAATCCTCAAGGATCAGAATGCTCCTAATTGAATAGATCACATGCTTAACCCATCAATAATTTACAAATGCTGGCAATCTTTAGCAATGTGACATATAAGAATACGTGGATTGGGGCTCTCCAGGGCTGGGGTTGTAGACCCCTGTTCTAGCTCTTTTAAGCAATCCAATACATAAAACAATTATTGAATTAATTAGATGCATTAAAGGTAAGAATGTTATTACATTGCAATCATCAAGATTAAACTATATTCTGGACACCATCCCCACACTCTTTCCTTTCACATTCATATAGAACAGATGGCATGTCCTGATTTCTTCCCTTAACATACACACCAGGATTAAGGTCAAGTGAACACAGTTAATCTCTACACATACCTTGTTCTTTTATGCTTGCTCTATCTGCTACACTTTCATAAAGAAGCAAAACATTTAAAACAGACTGCATTTAGTGGATATACTTGTCCTTCTAAACTTCGGCCTCAAAATAATACAGAGTACAACAATGTAGACAGAGTGGAAATTACCTGAGTTGCAATAAATATTAGGCACTTGAGTCACACTAAGAACTACTTATCCAAACTGTGCCATGCCATGTTTCACTCCATAATTCTAGAAACAGTAGTTAAGTTTCTTTTCAGTAAACTATGCATAAGAATGAGTGCAATGTGTCTAATTATGTATTAAACTAATTCTGTATTTCACCTTTTGAATTGCCAAACTGCCTACCTCATGTATCATTTTAATTATTTTTCTAGCTCTTCCCCAGAGGAACTTAGTGATGGAACTTAATTAATGGATATAATAAAGAAAAGTGCTGGTCTTCTTTCAATGCATTCTGAAAACCAGTCTCATTTACATCGATTCTTTTTTTCTTAGACAAAGGCACAGAAAAGGCTTTGGGGTTAAACCGTTAAAAAGGAAGAAAACACAAAACAGTGATATTAATTTTGTCATCTGTTCTGATTATCATATGTTTTCTGTAGTGTTTGAAACATTACAATGAAAATAACGAAAGAAATTGAAGTGGAATTTCAAATCACTTGTTCTGCTTGAATGAAGAGTCCTTCACATAAAACAAATGCCTATTATTATCCCTTTGTCTTTAATCTTAACATGCTGGCTAAAGCAATGTTTATTTAACAGAGTGGGGATAAACCTAAGGTCTATACCTGACTTGACTATAAAGCCACCTAGAGGTACGGAACAACAGCGCTGCATGCATTATTACTTGTGACTTTATTGTTCTGAGCATTAGCTGCAGTGATCCAAGGAATAAATGCATATGATGTGAAGGTATACAAAGGAATATTAAGGCCTCAACTGACAGATTAATGCCTGTAAGGACTTATATTATTGGAACTGAACAGAGATTCACATCACCTTTCAAACAAGAACTGTACGTTAGTGTTTTGTGTAACATTGCTGCTAAAGAACACTAAAGCAGTATTTCTAGCTACTGGAAAAAAAAATAGATACCAGCTGGTGGGTTTGTGTATTTTACTCACTAAAATTATTACTAAAAGTATTTGTCACTTAAAATCACTTATTAAAACCATTTAATTTATCCTAATGTAATTGTTTCTTCAATATTAGACATAAAACATAACAAGTAAGCAAATAGTACAACAGAGGTTTAATTTGAAGAATTTTTCAATTTTTCACAACCTCTTGTTTCTACTGCATGGATGCAACCTTCAAATACAGTGTTGCAATTATACAGTATGTCAGTCAATATAAGATTACATATTTTCATTTATTTTTTTATATATAAATGTACATTGGACATGTATTCGTGTTTATGTTATGAACATAATTTTAACAATTTATCTTGGGT